TAAACTGGCCCACCTTCTAATAACACACTCCACTGTAATGTGAGCTCCCATGGGTCAGCAAAAACCAACCTTTTCAGCAAACTGCATTACTCTGTGAATAGCAGGTCATCCCCTCCCTCTCAAAAAAAAATAAAAGGATAAATAATCCATTTTCAGTGGTCCATTTTATAATGGTCTTCAAAAACCTTAAAAGTAGAGTGTATACTTGTTTGAAGTAAAAAAAAAAGTGCCTGCTGGTGCTACTGGCTATCAAAAAAGGCAGAATTGCTTCTCTGACCTTTGGGTGGATCAGGACTAAGAAGTTTGGGCTGTATTTGATGGTCTACTATCCCTAGCATCCAAATATGGTTTAGCAACTTAATAAAGCTTAAATTAATTCCAGGTAAATCACAGATAATGAATGATAGGTATTTTCCCCCAAAATCAGTTGCCAGAATTAAGTCCAAATGGGTAATCACACTCAAAATTTGCTAACATTCCTCGAGCATAATCTCTAAAGTGCCCTCAAAATAACCTCTAAGTCATTGTTTTAACTAGAAAAAGAAACAAGTTTCAACTGGCAAAGCAAACATAGCTCTACAATGTCACATGTCCAAGCCTCTTCTGTTTGATTGCAATCTAAAATTTTACCCTTAAAAATCCCTCCTAGGAGATGGTGACCAGCCTGGCCAATATGGCGAAACCCGGTCTCTACTAAAAACACACAAAAAATTAGCCAGGCATGGTGGTGGGTGCCTGTAATCCCAGCTCCTCAGAAGGCTGAGGCAGAATAATCACTTGAACCTGGGAGGTGGAAGTTACACAATTGCGTCACTGCACTTCAGTCTGGGCAACAGAGTAAAACTCAGTCTCAAAAAAAAAAAAAAAAAAAAAAAAACCATCTTAACTGATGTAACTGGGTGTCTGAGATCTGAGAGTTGGACAGTAGTTTCTAACTCTACCATAGGAGTGAATTATCAAATAAGTTATGGGAAAATTAAATTCCCACATCAGTCCTATAATGTTTCTTACGTAAGGTAATCGTGCTAGGAATAAAAGTGCTAACATTTGAAAACTAAGGAAATGTTGAGATTCCAAAGCAGATGGAGGCTCTGAAAAGTAACAAAGGAAAAGCCAATCCAATCTCAGTGGTAGGAATTTGAGAAGGATTTTCTCAATATAAATAAGATTATCTTTACAACTCCATGTATCATTTGTAATTTTTGCAATCTACATTATGTCATTATTCAGACATGGCACCACTAAAAGCAGAACAAAAAAACCTTGTCCTCCAGGTTATGTTCACAGAAACAAAGGGGACAGAGAAACATACAAGGGTAGGGCAGAAGAATAAATAGATATGAAACTGGAAGACTTCAGGGAGCTGTTTTCACACCCAGCAAGCTTCACAGAATTCAGATATGGGCAAATTCATTGGAGGAGAACAAGAAAATATGACAAGGTATAACTTTTTCAAATAGTAACTGGCCTTGGAAGAGGGAAAGTTACTGAAAGCAATATGAAACAGCTCACTGCTATATTAATAGGACATGAGTGGATTGGAGGGAATTTGTACAATGGACCACTGAAAAGTGCCCTAAGCCATCCCATATCACGGGCAGAACAAAACCCAGATGAAAGAATCCTACTGTCCATGATCCACAGGGGAAAACATCTTTCCAGCTTTTCTAATACCCTGTATTATAGTGTCAATTATCTGATGGTCAAATCTAAATTCTTGCTGCAGTAAAAACTGAATAGTGCATCTGATTGTTATCACAATAAGACACATTATATGCCCTCATGAATACAGAACTCAAAACCATTTTATATGACTGACTGAATTTATTCTCATGATATCCATATGAGGAAGGAGAGAGGCAGACACTTTTTTTTTCATTTTACAAGTAAACAAGCAAAAATGTAAAAGATTAAGTGACTTGACCAATTTCACGAAAAATGTCTTATCTCAGTTCCACGCTCAATCCACTAAGTCCAGCATTTTGAGTGTATTTGGAAGGCAGGAAAGTGAGATTATAATAAAACACTAAGCAGAAAAGGATGAGAGGAGTAGAGAATGTTAATAATGATTTAAAACATAAAATTATTTAAGTAACATTTAAATAAATATTTCTTAAAAGGAGGGAAAAATTACTGTTAAGACCATAATCTATAACTTCAGAAAACTAAAGTAACTCTATCAGATTATCTGAAAAGAAATAATCTCATAACTCTGTTGCTTATGTAGATGCTGGATTCTGAACCATTGATGCAGCACATTATTGTTATCTCTGTTGAAGTATTGCTACGCCTAATTTTTGTTGTTTGCTTTGGGCTTCACATTTTATTTAATATTATTGCAATTAAGAACTTAATTAACAACAAACGATAGTAAAATACCAATGTCAATTACTCAATAGCAATCGAGAACATAAAGTGTCCAGTCTTTATAATGTTGTCTACCAAGAGCTGTCAATAACTCATTTTATTTTTGTGTCTGGGAACATCCAATTCAGACACATTTATCAAGTACCTATTTGATAAATGCTATTTAGCTTTTAATTCCTGAAGTTAAAAGGAATATGTGGCTGCATCTACATATTTGCATCTCAAGCTAACTTCCATTTATCATTATTAAGCACTATCCCTTTTCACTTAAAAAAAATTTCTCTGAGCACTACTGTTGTTTTCAGTTTACTGAAACTTGTTTCTGTTTTCATTGTGCTAGAGTGGAGTTTAGATTAATGCCAAATAAGACTTTAAGAACACATAAGAAAGTGTTATTATTTATTTGGAAATGTGAGTAAGGTTTTTTTGTGTTTTTTTTTAAGTAGAGTAACAGTAGCAATGCCCACACCTAGCACCTGGATCTTTGTTTCTAAATATTTCATTCCCTAGTAATAGGAATGAGGGCAAGGGAAGGGAGGCTAGAATGTTTTCTGCTGCAAAAAGCAATTAAGTACTCAAAGAATGGTGGAGACATGGTGAAGAAAGTAGAAGTTGGCTTGGAGGAGTTTCACTGACTAGATTTGTGATTGTTTGAGCATTAAGAATAATAATGGATGTTATTGATAACAATTGAATAAAAAAAGAAACTATGGGTCTGAAGTGATTCTAAAAAGGAAGAAGGCTGAGCTCCTCATTAAAGAAGAATGCCTACAAACATGTAGAAGGAATGGCGAAATTTGAAAACCAGAACTTTACAATCACCATTGAAATAAGATTATCCACAGATGTTAAAATTTTCACCAGGTGAAAGTTTGTTGGGGAACAGGATATCAAAACAGTGTGAATGTATTACCCCACAGATTACTTACTAAATACAATGAAAACAAGGTGCCTTTCAGTAGGAAATTTGGTGGATACCACTTCATCAAGTGATCAAACTTAGTATCACCAATAACGAGACAAACTGACATATGTAGAAAAGTAATACCATAACATATGATCATCTACATAATATTCTTAGAAATAAATTTAGTTTGAATCTAAAGATGCAGAAACAACAGACAAATTTAGATTGTGGTGCATTCTACCAAACAATTGATATGGACTCTTCAAAAATGTCATTGTCAAGAAGCAAACAAAAACATGTGGTAGAATTATTTTAAAGAAATTAAAGAGGAACATCAACTAAAGGCAGTGTTTGATTCTTAATTGCATCTGTATCGAAAAGAAAAAATCCATAAAAACCATTATTGGGACAATTGGGGAAATGTAAATATGGATTGTTTATTACATAGTATTATTATTTCTATACTAACTTTTTAAAGTGTGAAATGATATTGTGGTTTGTAAGTAAATATCCTGGCTCTCTGGAGATGAATGCTGAAGTGTTTACACATGAATTGTCATTATGTCTGTAAGACAGTTGAAAACAGTTGAGAGAGAAAGAGAAGGGTGGGGTGGGGAAGGAAGAGAGAGAAAGAAAACGTGTAAAACATTAACAATGCTAGATAAAGAGAATATGCATATTTACTGTTCCTATGCCTTCGACTCTTCTACGATTTTTAAATTTTTTAATACAAAACAAGGAAGAAATACATAAAAAGGAGTACAATAACATGAATACACTGACAACTATTATTTAACTTGTGAGAAGTTGTTGACTTTCCAGTGTAATTTAGAGAAGGGGTTACAAGCACAGATGCTGGAGTCAGACTGCTGGGATCCCAGCTATACCACTTGGGAAATGTGTGACCTATGCAGATTACCCAGCTTCTCTCTGCTCTCATCGCCACTTCTTATTTAAAAAGCAGTAAACTCACAAGATTCATAGAGAACTTACTCAGGTTTATTGGGAGGATTAAATAAAAAAACCCAAATACTTAGAACAGTATCCATCTCATTAGCAAAGGCTCAATAAAATGCTAACTGTGATAAGGATTATAAGTATGACAAAGAGGAAACACCCCAGTGTCTAAGACACTGTATTAAAAACTGGGGATATAAAAATGAATAGGAGAGCAAGTTCTCATCCTCAAGCAGGTAAATCCAGTAAGGAGAAACAGAAGTAAACAAAGATGTCTTAATAAGAGATGCATGTTAAGGACACAGAAGAGGCAGTGATTAATTACATAGGTTTAGGAAGGTCAAAAAGGTTTGGAAAAGGCGTAGTGCTAAAAACTTCTTTCAAAAGGGAAATTTAATATATCTCCAAAAGATATATCAAAGATATCTTTCATAATGTAATAATTCACAGAATACAATGAAACACATTATAGTATTTCTTTTAGTTGAAAATTATCATTTTTTTAAAGATATGATACTGTAATTTTGAGCAGGTTTGCTAAGGAATCAGTACAAAAGGCCAGAAAATTTTAATGTAACCATCATCACCTCTTTTGGCAACCAAAATCTCTATGTTTAAAAGAGTCACTGATACATAGCGAGTTGAAGTATACAGCAATTATTTTTAAAATGAAATCAATTTTGTTACTGGGCTTGACTAATATGAAGTCAGAAATTTGTCAGTTCGACCTTCAGGTGTTTTTAGTTTGCTTATTTGGATTTTTAAAAACATGATAATTATTCCAAATTTATCTGATGAAGAACCTTAAATAGAAATTTGAAAACAACTTAAATGCCCATCAATAAAATATTGGTCATGTAAGTGATAGCATAGCAGTCTTTCTGTCCAACATTGTGGACTTCAATCCAGGCATGAAATGTTGTTAGAGGGACCTCACTAACCCATGATTTTGGCATGCCACTCTGTTTCTTATACTCATTCACTGTCTCCTCATCATGTTCATTTAGCTCATTATACTATTTCAAACACTCAGCATGGCATTCAGTACCACATTTCATGATGTGACCCTTGCCTATCCCACTAGCCTCATTTCCAATCACATTCACAAGAATAGCAACTAATTGCAGTTCTAGGAAATACACTTTTGAATAGCTCCACACTTTCACATGGAATGCCATTTTCTCCCCTTGTCTACTGCACTAATGTCTAGACAGACTTCAACACTCAGTTTAACCATTATCACCTCTAAGATTTGCTGAGTTCGTACCCTCCTCAGTGCTTTCATGAGCCTCTGTGCATACTTCTACCATAAATTATATGTATATACAGGTTTACATTTAAATATACATATCTCATATGATATCTTCCTAGTTGTTTTTCTTATCTAGCTCCCTCACTAGGTTTTGACCTCTTTAAACACAAAGTACCTGCTCTGAAGTAGTGTACAGTCTCCTGACAAAGACAGACATGACAGGTGTACAAGGTGTTAAAAGAATACGGAAGAAGGAATTTCAGTTTCTTCAGGGAGGCAGGAGTGGGAAAGATACCAGGAAAAACTTTCAAGAGGAAATGTGAGCTGAATTTTAAAGGATAAGTAGAAATTCATCATGGGAATGGGTGAAGGGCCTTTCACTCAGACTGAGCAGCACAAGAAAAACCAACAGGCATAAAGCAGTAGAGGTCTGGAAATTCAAGTACAGCTCACTGCATCGGGCCCACAGCAAGAAACAATCCTTCACAGATAAGGCACATGTCAGCCTGAAAATCCTTGTACTCAAAGAAACAAGATTCCATCCATAACTGTGAACAGGCAATGGATTGTAAGCAGAAGATGACACAATCAGATTACATATATGTGTTTTCAAGCACATAAACTGATTTCTTTTTAGAATCTTAAGAATTAAGATCTATAATATGTAATAAGGTCATAAGATAGAGAGACAAATATATTCATTTTCCCAGTAAACTGTTTCCTGAAAACCACAATATGTTTATTAAGATTACATCTTGTCCATCTTTTTTCTTAAATCCCTTTTATTAAGTAGAAATGACTAGCTCCTACACCTTCAAAAGTGTACTGAACTGAACTGGATGAGGCACTGGAGAAGCTGTTACACTGGTATAAAGATGTACAAGACACAGTCCCCACCTTCATGAAACCAACAGTCCAGCAAAACAAATAATATAGATCCATAAATAACCACAATACTGTATAGGGCAACGTGAGATGGGCTTCATGCCAGTATTGCCTTCCTCTGTGGGCTTTCAATACTGATACTGAGTGACATGAATACCTAGCTAGAGCTTCATTTTACTGGGATGATATCTGCTATAGTTGGCTAGGATCATGCAGGTAATAGCTTCCTCTCTCTCTCTCTCTCTCTGTCTCTCTCTCTCCCTCATTTGTGTGTGTGTGTGTGTGTGTGTGTGTATTTCTACTGAAACTAAAAAAATTAGCCAGGCATGGTGGCAGGCGCCTGTAATCCCAGCTGCTCAGGAGCCTGAGGCAAGAGAATCGATTGAACCTGAGAGGCGGAGTTTGCAGTGAGCTGAGATCACCCAGCACGCCAGCTTGGGCAACAGAGTGAGACTGTTTTTTATACACACACACACACACACACACACACATAAATACACACACACACACACACACACACACACAGTGTTACATGTAGAGGTTATATAAGTGTTATACGTAGAGGGGGTAGGGATTTCCTGCTGTGAAAATCAGGAAAGCAGACTGGAGAAAGTGGCATTTAGGCAGGGCTCATTTTTAATACATATTAGGACAGAATTCAAACTTAAAAGCTAAATATGCTTGGCTGGGTACAGTGGCCCACACATGTAATCTCAGTACCGTGGAAGGCCAAGACTGAGTCTGGTGGATTGCCTCAGCTCAGGAGTTCAAGACCAGCCTGGGAGAAATGGCTAAACCCCATCTTTACTGAAAAAAGAAAAATTAGACGGGCACGGTGGTGCATGCCTATAATCCCAGCCACTTGGATGGCTAAGGCAGAAGAATTGATTGAACCTGGCAGGCAGAGGCTGCAGTGAGCTGAAATCGCACCATTGTACTCCAGCCTAGGTGATAGAGTGAGACTCTCTCTCTCTCTCTCTCAAAAAAAAAAGTCCTTATTCACTACTAACAATGATTCACTTTTAGTCAAATATTTTCTTAGAATTAGGAGTGGTGATGTAAAACAAAAAAAGACAACCAAAAGGGGGGAAAAAGATAATATGTTTATGTAGGATGACTTTTTCAGCCCTTGATATAAACAAATGTTGAAATATTAGTTGCAGGTCAAAATGGTAAACTGGAAAGATTTTTTTTCAAGAACTTAAAACTATTAGATAACATTTCAGCAGAGGTGGACCATAGATTTTTACCTATCCCACATTCTTCTTCTGTTTAAAGTTGTTCCTCCATGGAGACAGTTGTGGCAATGATTAATGTTGATTGAAGTTGACAAACAAAAAGGAAGGTTCGACTAGGAGGATAGTGGAAAGAAATAAAACCACAACCTGTGTTCTGTTCAGATCTCACCCTGCAATCCAAACACATATCAAGCCTCTCCTCTTCAAAGTCTCACAGGCACTTCAAACTGCACACACCCAAAATTGAAATCATCATCTGCACCTTCTCCTGTGTTCTCTAGCTCACAAAATGATGTCCTAGAGACTTGGGAGTCATCTTGATTACATCTTCTTCACCTTTCACAACCAGCATCACAGATACTACAGCCACCATGTTACTGAATGAATGTGAATGTGAGTATAAACCAGTTACTGAGTCAAATGCTTTGGATTTCTTCATTTGATCCTCATAAAAAATCCTATAAGATAAGACTCTTATCTACATTTTATCAAAAAAGAAGCTGTAACTCAGTTAAGTTTCTCAAAAACACAATTTGTAGTGACAGCAAGTCTGTCTGCCAAACCCATGTGCCCACCACTGCCCTAACACTGTGTGCCTCTCCATTCTTTCTTTTCAGTATCTTTCAATCCCTCTCCTTCTCTTTGCTCCCACTACCACTACTTAAAATGAAGCCTAATTTCTCACCAGATTGCCTTCCTACAGGTCCCAGGCATTTTCACTAAAGGAAGGAAGCCCCACAAGGAAATGAGGCACATGCTTTTCCAAATGGGCCAGCTACTGCAGAGGCCCCAGTTGATAGACTCCTCGCAGCAATGCAGACCTACTGACTTTTCAACCAACCTTTATAACCATGTCTCCTGTGAAACACTGACAACGACATGAATTTCAAACAATGTTAAAACACTCCAAGCAAAACTAAATTCACCTGAGTGCTAGATCTGATCCATTAGCACCAGCTATCCTCTGAAATACTATGTAATTTCTCTCCTTAAAATCTTTACAATGTTCCTCTACAACTTTGCAATTAAGGCTAATCTATTTAACATGGTATCAAAGCCTTTCAGGAGTCAGCCCTTTCCTACTTCTCCCACTGCATCCTTCATCAGATGCCCTTCAAACATATACCCCACATGTTCTGGGTTGAGATTCTTACATTTTTCAAAATGTGCTCCTCCCTCTGGCTCCTAAGCTTCAAATGCATTTTTCTGTGTGCCCCAGATACTTTTCATTTGACTGATTTATCCCTCAGGATTCAGCTGGGCCATCACCACTCCATTACTCCTGCTCTGAGATACTGCCCAAGAGATACTTTCACAGAATCCTATACCAAAACATGCCTTTACCAAAACATGCCTCTTATCCAGTATTGCCTTCCTCTGTGGGCTTTCAATACCGATAGTGAGTGACATGAATGCCTAGAGCTCCATTTTACTGGGATGATATCTGCTGTAGTTGACCCAGGATTATGCAAGTAATAGCTTACTCTTTCTCTCTCTCCCCCACCCCTCGTGTGTGTGTGTGTGTGTGTGTATATATATATATATATATATATTTTTTTTTTTTTTCTACTAAAACTAAAAAAATTAGCCAGGCATGGTGGCAGGTGCCTGTAATACCAGCTGTGTTATATAACACAGTCTTACTCTGTTGCCCAAGCTGTGAGATATATATATATATATATATATATATATATATATATGTTGAATGAATGTATTAACTGAATACCACTGAGTCCATGAAGTCTTCCTCGATCCTCCTCAGCAGGAAACGATTCTTTCCCTGAACTCCCTCAAATCTTTATCCCTACCTTTTTCTATTTAAGAATCATAGAGGAATAAGAGCCAATGAGCTTACTAAATTGAGCTGATTGAAAGTAAGGGTCCCTGTTTTATTCACCTTTGTATCTTCCCAGCACCTAACTTAGCTCCTTACCTCTAGTAAGCTTTCAAATAATTATCAGATAAATCACAGTAACCTTAAATGCTAACGTTCCATAATTCAGTTCCATCTCCCTTCAGTTCATTTTCCAGGTGCAAACACAGTTAGGTAACCAAAACTGTTCCACTCGGAAGTTTATGGGTGGATATTATTAGAGAAATAGAAGAAAAAAAAAGGTTCAGAACCACAGACAGCTATCCCATGAAAGTTTTTTTTATAAATGAATAACTGCAGAAATGTTCTACTTCCAATTGATTATTTCCAAAAGATGATTATGGTAAACAAAATGCATTTGAAAATGTGCTATACCATCTATTCTATGATGGATCCTAGTAGAACTCAGATCAGAGTTTTCCATTTGTTTTCTATATATTGAGCACACACTAATAATAGCAAACATCCATCAAGAACTGTGGAAGGCACCCTACTTATAGCCAGTAAGAATTTTGCAAAGTTAGATTTAAAGATTACAATACTGCTGCTCAGAACAGTTAAAATGTCTAGTTTCTCAGCGGTGATAAGTCATAGGAACAGTTCCTGAACCCAGATATCAGTGACTAAGTGCATATTCTACTCTTTCCTTGGGATTTTCTCCCTAATGTAAGCCATAGCTCTACTAGTCAACACTATACTGCTAGTAACTATAAAATACATATGCTTTAAGTCTCCCTGAATGAAGACATTTCTGAACTTTAATTTCTAGTACTATCAATTTTGTTCCCAAATATTTTTTATTAAAATTCTGCCTTAAAAACAATTTTCATGACGTGATAGTTTCTTCAATCAGTTTAAAGAACATTGTCAGCCCAGGCGTGGTGGCTCATGCCTGTAATCCCAGTACTTTGGGAGGCCGAGGCCAGCAGATCATCTGAGGTCAGGAGTTCAAGACCAGTCTGGCCAACATGGCGAAACCCTGTCTCTACTTAAAATAAAAAGTTAGCCGGGTGTGGTGGAAGGCGCCTGTAATCCCAGATACTCAGGAGCCTGAGGCAGGAGAATCGCTTGAGCCATCTCAGTCATCAGTGAGCTGAGACGGCTCCAGTGCACTCCAGCTTGGGCAACACAGCAAGACTCTGTCTCAAACAAACACAAACTAACAAACAAAAAGAACATTGTCTTCTTAGCACCAATTCCATTAAACATTATAATTCTACATGTTGCACCAAAGATTTCCACTAAAGTGTCATAGGGTTATAAGTGACATTATTTACTGCCAAAAATATCTTAAACAAAGAACACTTGATGTACCTAAAACAAGAGCATAAATACCTATAAGTGATGTGATAACCTTTTATATATTTCATACAATAAAAATATTTCTTACCTGAATTTTTCCATGGAGAATTAATGAATATGAAATACAATTCCCTCAGGTTAATGATAGACTGGTGTTAGTAATTTCATTTGGTGGACTTTGTTTTTATATTTGCTTCTTTAATTATTAAAAACATAAACTGTCCGTTAGGTTAGAATGGAGGTCAATTTATTAGATTCATAAAACAGAAGAAAGGAATTATCAACTGAAAAGGAAAAGTTTAATGTAATAACCGAATTAAAATTAACTTACTATAATTCTATAATTGTCTATGAAATAAGTACATCTCTAAGAAATATAGTTTTCCTAAAAAGATGCAACTCAAAAACACAACTAATGTTTTGTTTATAGCTTCATAGAATTATTTAGAAGATATGCCTTTCAAGACATAGATTAGCCAAAATTATTTCAAGAAATATGTTCATCTAACCTTTGAGCTGGCACCTTATCCTGGCTATTCTCTGCCTTAAGACGTAGAAAGCTGCAAAACAAATGTCCAAAAAAAGAAATTCCAGATCTTTTCTCTGTAAGGAGGCTGGGCTTGGGTATTTATCAACTTGTTACATTCCCGGAGACTTACACATATTCAACTTTCAGTGCTTTTCTGAAACAAAAAAAAAAATCTAGGACATGTTTAAAATAGTAATATTTTAGTCACCATTTTGTTATCAGGAAAACATTTCATAACAAAAATATTAACCAATAATTGAAGTTATGCTATTCTTCTAGTCCAAATTCTAAATTAAAATATTTCAGACCTTCTGTGATGCTGTATTTTCAGATCCAATTTTTCATTTCCAGAATATTAATTTCTGATTCCTAGAGACAGTATCCTTTTATTTAAATGGGAATTGGAAAACACATCTGAAAAAATTTAAACTTTTGATCAATTAGTAAGAAAGGCTAATAGTCTTAAAATTGATATATCTTTACTTACCTGTTTCTTACATACTGTATGTTCCCTTCTCTCTTCAACTTTGGGGAGGAAATATAATTTATTTTTCTTCCCTTCCACAGCATTTTCTTCTTGCATGGCTGCTTTGGTTGTCAATAGCAACAAGAATTACCATGAAAGCACAGCCATTTCACTTGAAGATACATAAATAATCCAGTTTGATGAAAGTAAAGGGAAGAAACTTGGAATGGTACTAATAATGGTCAGTATTTGATCAACCTAGAGATTGTCGAAGAAAAGGGATGATTTTATTCTTCTCTTCTAAATTAATGCCTTTAAAGCATTAAATATTCACTTTAACTTACAATTGTATATTTATTTGTATAATTTGTAAATTTAAAATTAGGTGAATGGGGCCTTCTTTCGGGTAATATAAGAAGAAAAAATTCTAAGTCCAATTTGATTTAACTGAAGCAATAATTTAACTATCGATCCAGAATGATTGCTCTGCATTTTTAAAGACACTAATTACATTTGCTTGTTAGATTTTTTTTTATATTAATTAGGTTTCTACTGTTAATTTGAAGAGAACTCACCATATTTTGATGTTGACACATTCCTTAAATAGAATAATAAAATATATCAGGTACAATCTAAGCAAACAGCTGAAATCAAAGTGTAAATAGCAAATTACATTCTGGATCACACATGTTATGGCTATGGTTATATATGAGAAAGAAAAAATATAAAAGGATACCGTTTCTTTAATACTTTAATTGCCAATTTTGAATCATCAAATTTATCAGGAAAAATACTTTAAATTATTGTAAGCAAAGGGAAAACAACTTAATAAAGAATAGCAAACATCATTATGCTCTAACTAGTTGTATTAGTACCAAAAAGCCAGTTTTGTATAGCTTATTTTACTCTTGTAGTATCTTAAGGTTGGGTCATATTTTTCCTACGTAATATAAATTAGTCTTGAAATACATAGATTTAGTAAGTTTTAGGGTATTAATATATACCTGACTTTAAGATAAAATTTTAGCCAATGTCCTATATTTTTAATTTGCATTTTAAAACTACACAAAACTGCATTTTATGTCAAAGCATATTAAATCTGGAATAGATTACTTCTAGAAAGATTTGGGGATCTATTTTCTATTGAAAGATAAGGAAATTTTTATATGCAACTATCACAATAAATTTTATTCAAGTTGCCAGAAATAAATGCCCTACATGCATTTTTTTTTTTTGCAGTATAAACCCCATCAAGAGATGCACTAAACTAGGATTCATTCATAGCACATAATATTGAAAAATCTGTCTCATTTTCTCTTGACAATCTGTTGCTCTACGGCCATCATCATAAAATGGCCACAGCAGTAAATACAAGCAACAGTCAGCAAAGCTACTCAGTTAGCTTAGAACTCTAGAGCTCTCTCTGACAACTTGCCTAAGAACCCTTGCTTCAGGTCATCTGAAGATTCTTTACTATATGTGGTTGGAATTAATAAGCACTCTGATGATTTTATAAAATTGTGACTCATAAACCAGAGAAACTAAACTATTTCGGGATTATGTTTCTTGCTTGTTAAACACAGGTTTATGGGTTTGGAGCCAGTCCTAAACTTCGGACTGGGTTAGGAAACTGAAGGATAAAAAACCTTAAAGAACTGAGCCTTTAAAAAAAAAATCCAAAGGTATGCCCATCTTCTCATGCAAGTTTCATTTACTGTAAAGGATTATAAAATGTCTAAATATTAGGCCAAGCATAAACTTTGGAAACAAAATAATAAAATGCTACAGACTAAGACTGCTGATGCAGTTACCACATGTCTCAGACTGGAGGCATACAGCCCCTTAAGCAAGCATGACACATGCACTTTGTTAAAGGTGATAAATGCCAGGTACATGCATAAAAGGGAAAGGACCTCCCTGACACACTACTTCTGCCTCCCAACCCTAATCATCAGCTAAAAAATGTAATAACTCCTTAATTTTCATGCTATATTTTTCGTTGTCAAAAACTCTGAGGTTAGCCTGCAAACTCTTCACAGATGACTACGTAACTTTGTACATTTATAACACCAACATCCAGGACAACAGATCCTATGGACAAGTTAAGTAGCATTTTGGATGATCCCAACTTTCAATACACTACTTTATAACTATTAAAGATATAAAAGAATTCATCCAACCTCAACACGAGATTAACAAACAGAATATTTAGCAAGTCTATACATTATTTCTTCATAATTTTATACTTTTCTCCTAAAAAGTAATTGTTTCAAAAATCACTTCTGCCTTAGTTAAGAAATAAAACCAGACATCATAATGTCTTAATTCTTGGCCATACATAGACACCAAGACACAATCTTTTAATTCTGCAGT